CAGGCCAGACCTCCTCCTGCCGTTGGGCAGCTGCGCCGGGCCAGTCTCCTGCCTCCTGAAGGCCTGCACCGGCCCAGCCTCTGCCTGCCAGAGGACCCTCCACGCCCAGCTCTCCCCTGACTGCGGCCCCGCCAGGACAGAGCTCCTTGTGCCTTTCGGCAGCTCGACCGGGCCCCGCTGCTGCCTCCCAGTGGCCTCGTTAGGCCCGGCTCATTCGTCACAGGGAACAGCCTTTCCAGGCACAGCCTGTGCCTTTTGGCGGCCTCTCCAGGCCCCGAACTACCTCAGTCCGGCCCCTCCAGGCCCAGTTGCGGCCTCCCAGCCTCCCTTCCAGGCCCAGCTCCTCCTGCTCCTGGCTGCGGCCTTTGTAGGCCCCAAACGTCCTGAAGCCCCGGCCTCACGACAACCTCTTTCGGCTCGGCTCCGGGCCAGCTCCCGCTCCGCGGCCTTTGTAGGCTTCAAACGTCCTGAAGCCGGTCCCCACGGTGGCCTCTTCGGGCCCGGCTCCTGCCCTCCGACGGCGTCTCCACGCCCCATTCTTCTTCCAGCCAGCCTCTCCAGGCACAGCTCCTCGTCCCGGCGGACTCTGCAGGCCCACTCTTTCCTCGAGTCGGCCTCTCCAGGGCTCGCTCCTGCTCCCGGCGTCCCCTACGGGCCCAACTCGTCGCCCAGTCGGCCTCCTCCGGCCCAGCTCCTGCCTCTCCGCGGCCTCTCCAGCTGCCAGACTTCCTCAGGTCAGCGTCTCCAGGCCCAGCTCCTCCTGCCTGCCACTGGCCTCTTGAGGCCCAGCCCCGCTCACACCTCTGGGCGGCCTCCTCAGGCCCAGGACTTGACCTTCACTCGGCCTCGCCAGGCTCAGAGTCCTGCCTCCCGAAGGCCTGCACAGGCCCAGCCTCTGCCTCTCAGCAGACTCTCCACGCCCAGCTCTCGCCTGACTGAGACCTCTCCAGGCCAGAGCTCCTCCTGTCTTTGGGCAGCTGAGCCGGGCCCCACTCCCGCCTCCCAGTGGCCTCCCTGGGCCCTGCTCATTCGTCACGGGGAACGGCCTTTCCGGGTCCAGCCTTTGCCTTTTGGGGGCCGCTCCAGGCCCCGAACTTCCTCAAGCCTGCCTCTCCAGGCCCAGTTGCGGCCTCCCGGCCTCCTGTCCGCAGGCCCAGCTCCTCCTGCTCCCGGCTGCGTCCGCGGGCCCAGCCCCGGCCTCACGACAACGTCTTTGGACTCGGCTCCGGCCCAGCTAACGCTCCGTGGCCTTTGTAGGCCCCAAACGTCCTGAATCCGGGCCCCACGGTGGCATCTCCGGGCTCGGCTCCTGCCCTATGACGACGTCTCCATGCCCCAGTCTTCCTCCAGCCAGCCTCTCCAGGCCCAGCTCCTCCTCCCGGCGGCCTC